TTGTTTTAAAATACTCCAAAAAAGTTGGGGGGAAATAGTTGAAACAATATTGGCAAAAGATTGATAATTGTGGGTTCATGGTATTATTTGCTTTTGTGTGTCTTTGATATTTTCTGTAGTATCAACTTTTAAATAATAATGAAAGTATATTTCTCCTCCCTGGTCAGGTATGCTCAAAATCTTGATAACCAAATGTTGGTAAATGGATATAAAAATAGAGCTAGACAGAAGGAATAAGTCCTACTGTGACTACAGTTAATGACAATGTATTGTATAGTTCAAAATAGCTAGAAGAATTCAAATGTTCTTTTTTTTTTTTTTTTTTTTGAAACAGAGTCTCGCTCTGTCACCCAGGCTGGAGTTCAGTGGCACGATCTCAGCTCACTGCAAGCTCCACCTCCTGGGTTCACACCATTCTCCTGCCTCAGCCTCCCGAGTAGCTGGGACCACAGGCGCCACCAGCACGCCCGGCTAGTTTTTTGTATTTTTTTGTAGAGACGGGGTTTCACCGTGTTAGCCAGGATGGTCTCAATCTCCTGACCTCGTGATCCGCCCGCCTCAGCCTCCCAAAGTGCTGAGATTACAGGCGTGAGCCACCACGCCCGGCCTCAAATGTTTTTAATACCAGTAAATGATAAGTGCTTGATGTGATGTTACCCTGATTTGATCATTCCACATTGTATACATATATTGAAATATCACCACTGTGCCCCATAAATATTGTACAATTATTATGGGAGTTTAAAATAATAATACAAAAAACTCTCCAAATTAAGTAGTACCCACAACTAAATTTTTCTCAAAATACAGAAAATTGAACATTGCAATTTAATTTTTTTTTTTTTTTTTTTTTAAAGAAATGAAGGCAGAGTCTTTCTAGGTGAATGGAGCCCTCCCTTCTGAGAACTTGGCAGCACCGTGCTGTGCTCTTCCTTTCTCTTGCCACTTTTCTCTGGTCCTGTTTGGAGCGCCTGTCTTACCTCTTATCAGCCACACAGCCTGCGAAGGCAGGTCACGTGGGACAGGCCGGAGTCGTGTTTGTAGGCTACTGGGTGTGTTATTTGGGATAATAGCGTTGGGATAATGACTCTCAGTGACACTTATTGGAGCCTTATCGGAGGGAAGAGTGACAATCTGTAACAAACACCACTGCATTGTTGGGGATGGTGTTTGTGGCTTCTCCTTCCTTGGGTTTTAGGAGGGATGCCTGCACTGCTAGAAGATTGTCCCGGGGAATTATCTTTTCTGCCTTTTCTTTGCTTTCAGTTAAGCTTTTCTCTTTCATTTGAGACAACTGACTCCATCACAGCCTACCTAAGCTCCTAATTTTTATGTACTTACATTGGGTTCCAACTATACTTCCTCCTTGAACCGGTCTGTTTATGTTGATCAGAAGTCAAATCTGATTGCTTTTCAGAATTCTTACTTTGAATTTCAAATTCCTTCTTCTCTATTATCCATTCCCCTTCTCTTTCTGCTTATCTTGTCCAGAGTTCAGATTAGCTTGCTTTTCTCGTCTCTCAGAGAGGATGCTGTCCAGTTTCCTTCACTGTTAGACTTGAGTGGGATCTTCACAGAGACAAGCACAGGACGAATGCACACTCATGCACCGAAGTCAGTCGATATGGGTAGACCCCTTTCAAAAAATAATACCTGGTCTGTTACATTTCTTGAAAGCCCTTTAGTTAACCAGTAGGTATACTATATTAGAGCATTTAGTAATAATGCCAGATAATAAGAGAGGAACGTCAAGATTAGGTATAATAATAGCTAGATATAAAAACTAGAGAAAATGCCCTTTTTTGGGGGACACAAACTTGGCAAGTTGACTTGCCATTTAGAAAGTGTTTCTAACTTACTGAAGTAATTGCTTAATTTGATTTTTTAAATTTTTACTTTTTTTTTTTTTTTGGCAAATATAGTTCTTTTTTGCAAGCTAGGAAAGAGAAGCAAATTGACCCAGTCTAGCCCTCATTCTTTATCAGAGTGATACAATAATATGAATTGCTAGCAAGCAGGTTGTAAAACTTAAATCATAACCATCTGTCCACATTTTTCATTAGGAAACAACCAAAAATTGAGTCCTTTAAAGGCAAGTTATAAATAAATAACATCTTGATCTGTGAAGGGGACAGCATGACCCAAATTATATGCCAACCAGCCTGTCTCAGAAGCACAGCTGAGCTGGCCAGTGAGTGGTGAAGAGCAGCGCTTTTGAAAACCTGCTCTCAGACAATAAGAATTCTGGATTCTGGTCGGGTGTGGTGGCTCACACCTGTAATCCCAGCACTTTGGGAGGCCAAGGTGGGTGGATCACTTGAGGTCAGGAGTTCAAGACTAGCCTGACCAACATGGTGAAACCTCATCTCTTTCTCTACTAAAAATACAAAATTAGCTGGGTGTGGTGACATGCCTGTAATCCCAGCTACTTGGGTGGCTGAGGCAGGAGAATTACTTAAACATGGAAGATAGAGGTTGTAGTTAGCCTATATCATGCCATTGCACTCCAGCCTGGGCAACATGAGTGAAACTCCATCTCAACAACAGCAACAAATTATGGATTCTGCTTGTCAATAGGAAAGCAAGTAAAAAGTGTCACAGATGTGCAAAATTGGTCCTTGTTTATACCAGAGTTTACCATGAGAATAAAGAAGGGCCAGGCGCGGTTGCTTACGTCTGTAATCCCAGCACTTCGGGAGGCTGAGGTGGGCAGATCACTTGAGCCCAGGAGTTTGAGACCAGCCTGGCCAACATGGTAAAACCCCATCTCTACTAAAAATACAAAAAATTAGCCAGGAGTGGTGGTGCGTGCCTATAGTCCCAGCTACTCAGGAGTCTGAGATGGGAGGATTGCTTGAGCCTGGGAGGCAAAGGTTGCAGTGAGCCAAGATCACACCACTGCACTCCAGCCTGGGCAACACTGGGCAACAGAGCCAAGACCTCCTCTCCGCTAAAAAAAAAAAAAAAAAAAAGAGAGAGAGACTAAAAAATTAGAGATATGAGTGAGGAATAAGATACTTAAATTTTGAAAATAAATGTCTTAGTGATAAATCCAGCATGCTACATTTTCCCTTTTACCACAAAACAAAGGACTATTTTAAAAGAAATGTTGAGTTCTAAATGAACACTTTCTAGCACAGAAACACCTTCACTTCCCCATACGATCAAGGTTACTGCTCTTCTCCTACTCAGATCCATGTCAGGAGCTTTTCCAGGGCAGGAAATTGACAAAAACAGAGCATATGCTAGCTAGCCACTGGGGAGCAAGGTTAGCATCCTTGGGGTGGACCATCCACATGGGTAAGCTGTAGTTTTGATAAGCATCTGCAGGCTGCCCGTGGGCGTCTCGTCTCATGCCTGGCCTTGTGCACACTGAGCTGGGTGCTGGGCCTCCCAGGAACCCCCAGGGTCCAACAGCACATCCGAGTGACCCTGCAGGAATGCTGCTACCTCCTTGCTAAGCCTGAGAGAATGGGGAAGACCACAGCTCCCAACGGTCTTAGGGGATCTCATGGGGGCTCTTCTTGTGAACAGATCAGTGCATCTTTCTGCTGCTGTCTGGGGGGAGTGGGCAGAGCAAGGGGCTTCCGCCCACACGGCCACCAAGGGGAGCCATCCCCACCTGCCATCCCCAGAACAGCCCCCAGAACCTCACTTGCTTTCTTACTCTGGTAGATGGTTTCTGCACAGAATTGAGGTTGGTCTGCATAAAGAAAAAACAAAAATGTACCAAGACATTTTCCAGTGTGTTTAAGGCCCAGTGGTTTCAAAGTACATTTGGGGGTTATCACTCGGGGGTGACATTCTTTCCCTGTCTGCCGCTGTGGTTTCTTCTGTTTGATTTTGTACTGAGTGTTTACATCCCCTTAGGAATGGAAAAGATTTACTTATTTATGTATTTATGTACTTTTCCCTGTTGAGGGATTAGTATTGGTTGTAAAACCACGTCAGCTCACCATTATGATACTTTGATGAGCTTAAAATTTTTGGGAAATGCTATAGGAGGGGCCACTAGGGCTTAATCAACCAGTGTTGTCTCAGGAAATGTCCACGGTGCTCCGAAATCTTTCTGAATTGGATTTTATTTTATTGTACTATTATTTTTTATTTTCTTTAGAGACAGAGTCTCACTCTGTTGCCCAGAATGGTCTCCAACTCCTGGCCTCCTGCCTTGCCTTTCCACAGTACTGGGGATTACAGGTGTGAGCCACCACACCTGGCGTGAGTTGGATTTTAAACATGCTGTTGGTTTTGAAGATACTTCCTTGGTTTTGATCCATTTAAAAAACACATACGTCCCTATTATAAATGAGGCACAGTAGTCCCAGAGGCTGGGCGGGTCTGAGGAAGCTACAGAGTTCCTACAGAGCTGCCAGTGTGGCGGATGAATAGGAAAGGCCACCACAACTGCACGCATGCCGAGTATCAGCGGGGAGCATGTCAGTCGGATCTGGGCTGTCCCAAGCCCTCATGGAGGAAATGACCTCAAATGAGGCTTGAGGGATGAAGGGAGTTAGATTAAGTTTGTTGTTAGGGGGAGTGCGTTCCAGGCAAAAGTGGAGGCCAGAGAAAGGAGAGCACATCTGAGAAGTTGAGAGGAGGGTAGCCCAAAAGAAACCCACGCTGATCAGGTCACAGTGTCCTCCAGGCCTCTGTAAGGAGCTGGCAGATCCCGCAGTGTGGCCTGCGCTTGCCTTCCTGGCTCCTCTTCCCTCGTCCCACAGGTAGAGTTGTATCCTCACCAGGAGTCAAGGGCATGACCCCACCAAGCCTGTTTATGGCAGTGCTTTATTATGATGATATGGAACTGAGTTAGATAATATGTAAGCAAATAAAATGTGACTATGAAAGGAGACTTGGCATCTATGACAATGAAATAGAAGAGTTTGGAGAAACCCAGTGAAACTCAGTAAAAGTAAATTGTTAAAGAAAATTCTATCAAATTAGATGAGAATTGACAGCTTGGAAAAAATGGAAATATCAAGGAGTCTGTATCCAAATTGGTTCACCAGTGTCTCTGGTTTTATCGCTCAGTATTAAAGAAGCCAGAACTGAAAATCACAGTGGACGCATATGGGTGTGGATTGTACAAGAGACAATGCGGAATTCTAGTCAGTTGATCGTGCACAGGGAGCCTTATCCTGCATCGTGACAAAGGTGAATGGTTGCACCCATGTATGTGTTAACATGTTCATGGCATGCATGCATGGGGCTCTTTTTTTGGCTCAGGGCTTTGAGGCAGCCCGATTGCTACAAGTCAGAGGACCTCAGCTCCAGGTCAAGGCTATAGCAGGATGCAGAGGAGGAGGCTGAGAGGTGGGCCTCCCCTAAGGTCAGGCTGCCTGGGAGGACAGAGCCTGGGCAGCTGGGAGCCACTGAGGGTTTTTGAGGGGAGTGAAATGATCAGATGTGCATTTCAGAGAGATCATTGGCTGGATCGTGGAGGACTGGAGACCTCAGGAGCCTGTTGCCTCGGAAAATGACAGTGGCACTGGAGATATGAAGAACTTCGAGGTCGAGGTAATTGGATGTTTGGGGCCGGGGAGCAGCCGTCCGTGCTGCCTCTGATGCCTGGGTGACAGGGAGCCTAGGAGACGAGCAAGTAGGTCAGTTGGGGAGCTTATTCCATTCCAGGCAGGTCAAGTCAGAGCTACGCATGGGCAGCTCGATGAAGATGATATCACCACATTGTTGATTTTGAAGCTCTGATTTTGAGGAGAGGGACCCAAAGCTAGAGGTGAAGATTCGGGAGTCAGCAAAGTGGTTCCTAAAACTCTAGGAAGGAGCGAGATGAGGGGGGATAAAAACTAGAAGAAGATCTTTTGAATCATGCTCTGGGGACCAACATTTGGGGACCAGTGAAGGCAAAGAAATTCACAAAGACAATAGAAAAGAAGTAGCCAGGCAGGTACACGGTGTCCCAGATGTCCAAGGAGGCCAGGGCTTCCAGGTGGGAGTAGTTCACGCTGTCAAATGCACAGAAGCGTAGAGAGGAAAATGCCCACTGGATTCCGCGGCAGGGAGGAGCTTAGTGACCTTAAAAAAACAAAACAAAACAAAGTTTCAGTTCAGCAGTTCAGTGCTAGGGCAGGGCCAGGATGCCATGGGGGATGTTGGGGCAGTTGTCTTAAAATTGAGGTATTTTATCTATTTTGCTTAAGCCGTGCTGATGGTTTTCTGATTTTATAGCTGAAAATATCCCATAAAGGCTCAGGACTAATGAAAAACAATTTGTTAGGCTACGATATAAAAAATTATTTTGTCTGTATATTACCAGTATCTGAAAGCTTGTTGGTATGAATGTGTCAGCATTTATTCTTACTAAATGTTTTTCAAAGAGATGGTAAGAATATACATCAGAAAGTTGCATTCGTTGATTTAGAATTGATATTAATCCCCAACATTTAGGAAGTAGGTGGATTTAATCATAGTAAGTGCTTATATTGTTTCAAATTTGATTTTTTAAATGAAATTAATTGAATTATGAGAAATTACTGAAGGTTATTTCTTTGAAAAATCTTGTAGTAAAGAAATTTATTCAAATTATTTGGATTTATTTTTTGTTTAAAACAAAGTTTTTTGGTTTTTGTTTTTTTGTGTTTTTTTAACTCTTTTGTGATTGTTAAAATCCTACTTCTGATTTGTTGGGATAACAAATTTTTGCACTGATTGTTTGATCAGATCACACCATATTTCTGTTTTTCCTTAGGACTGTCAATAGAATAAGGCAGTAAGAATTCTTGATTCATAGCCTAAATGCATCACAAAAGGGAGGTTACTCATATGATTATTCTGGCCTTATTCTGTCCTAATTATTAGGAAAGTTAATGTTCTTATTAATAGACCTTTGGGTCAAAAAGTGCGAGTGTAATCCCAATCCTTGGGCAAGTCCCTTAATCTCAAAGTCTTCTTGTCTTTATCTGTAATGGTAGAAATTAATATCATCTGCCCCACAGATGTGGAAGAATGACCTGGCACACAGTAAGTGTGCAGTAACTATTACTAATTAACTAGGGAAGCATTAACTACACAGGCAACAAGGGCACTGACGAGCAGGAAACTGTTTACATCCAGAGTTCTGAGTTACTGATGTAACTGCACTAATCAGCAATGTAGCTTAGACAAGTCATTTAGTCTACTTAGTAAAGTCCTAGAGTACTTGGAGTCTATATGGAATAATACACTGTTTAATTATTATCCAAATATAAGTTAAGCAAATTTAAAATGCGTGTGTTCAGGTTATTTAAAAAAAAAAAAAAAAAAAAACTTGATTGGATGTTTTTTTATAGATTTTCTGGGCCCCAAATTTTAGGTATTGTCTAACGATTTTTCAATGTGTCACCCAGAGACTCCACTAAATTTTTTGTTAAAAGGAAGGAAAACAAGAAAAGCCATAGCAGGTGTTGAGGTGTGTGTGATGCCTTTGAAAAATGACTTTAAGCATCCCATAAAATCTTTTTGTTCTCTTGTTTTTTGAATTATCTCTGTCTGCTTCTGCATGTTACTCAAATCGATTTTCAAATATTTTCTTTCAATAAAGAATCAGAGGGAAAATAGGAACTCAGGATTCACTTGCTTGGTGCCTGTTGCATGGTAGCAGCAGAGCTGTCAGGAAAGCTGGTTGGAGAATTGGTGATGGAGCACTTGGATTGTTAGGTGGGGATGCCCTGAGCCTTGCTGCGTTCCCTTCTCACCCCACATCTCACTTTATACTCATGCCAAGGAATATTGGCCGTTGATTATACACTCATCCCTGGCTGTCTGAGGGGGGTTAGTTCCAGGACTCCACAGACATCAAACTCCAAGGCTGTGCAAAAGTCCCTGATATAAAATGGCCTAGTATTTGCATATAACCCATGCCCAGCCTCCATGTACTGTAAGTCACCTCTAGATTATTTAAAGACCTGATATCAATACAATGTAAGTGAATGCTATGTAAATAGTTGTTATACTGCATTGTTTAGGGAGTAGTTACAAGAAAAAAGTCTGTACATACTCAGTACGGCCACAGTTTTTTTAAATGTTTTCAATCTGCGGTTGGTGGAGTCCACAGATGTGTAACCTACAGGTACGGAGGGCCAGCTGTATTTAGAAAACAAGATGAATCAATTCACTTATCAGGACTCACAGCAAGTGTTTTCCTGACTGCTAAGACTGCCTGTAGTAAAATGCCTGTTTTCTGACTGCTGTGAGAGAGCCTGGATTCCACAGCATCCAAAGGAATTTAGAAATTATGAAAGGCTTCTGTATGCAGGAACAAGGACTACAAATATGGCCTTTAGTGACGTATCGCCTGCAAGTCTTGGAGATTGTGTTAGCTGCATAGCAGTTACCTTAGCTGGTGTTTCATGCCTCATTGTTGCCTATCATCGAGATTTTTTTAGAAGGAATATAGTGTTCTGTTTCTGTCTCAGAAAAACATAAACTATTAAACTTTTTTTTTTAGCAAACTCATGAAATTTCATCTTTCAGCAGTTAAAACATTCTCGGTTCTTAACTGCTAGAGTTAAAAAGTAAAAGTTATTGAAAATATCATCTGTCTTACTGCTAAGCTTCAGAAATTGGATTTTAAAAGAAGAAAGAATACTAAAAGTCAGAGGAAGGAGAGCGAGAGCGCTAAACATCTAGCGAACCACCGCCAAGAGCCAGGAGCACTCTGTACGTATTCCTGGCCTGATCTTACAGACAAGGTCAGGCCTTAGAAATACTCAGTAACTTCTCCTAGCTTGGCTAAGCAAGATGTAATGAGTAGACAGTGGAGTTAGCATTCAAATGAGATCAGACTGGAAAACACAGATTGCTTTCCATTCTACTCAGTTTCCCGTATGTTTTCTCCATCACAAAACACAATATTGTCTAATTGATTTGCACAAAGATATGCCTGTTGGCAGTTTTAAAGACCACGTCCCAATAACTGCCTTCTATTAAAACAAAAAAGTTATATTTCTCCAGTCCCTATTGTGTTCTTGTTATGTTTGAAATGTGCTCGGTCCTAAGGATCTGAAAATAACCAGGTAAATACAGAAAAGAAGTGAAATCTGTACTAGGTCCTGAAGGGTGAACAATCCACGTGTGCTTACAGAGAACAGGAACACAATGGCCTTCAGCTGAAGACGGCACCTGATCTTTTAAAGAACGATTTTATATTTGTTTCTGCATTAATCAAAGTTCTAGTCCGTGCCCCAGGTCCAGAGTATCTTGTTTGGAGCTGTGTTTGGAGAGGGTGGGATATTGAGTAGGGGGGAGCGATGAAGGGGTTCATTGACGCCGCCGAGAGCACGTATTCACTGGTTTTGTGTGTTCAGGGCTGCATTGCTCCCGAGTGAAAAGCAGTCGCTCTGAAGGCATGAAGAGAGGCCCTTTTTCTTCAGAGCTGTCTTGAAGCAGGCCGGGGCGGGCCTCACAGAGTTTGCCCTTGTGCTTCAGGCTCCATTTCCTGCGCTGGGTGTGATGGGGCCCGCCCCTCCTGTGGTGAAGAGGCTGTGGCTGCTGAGTGGCTTTTCAGCCTGCCTTTGCCCAACAGGAGTCGGCCTGCCGAAGCACCGTCCACCCTGCTCATCAGTTTGTGCTAGGACGTGCCGTGCCCTGTGTTACGTTCAGTGCCTTTCGGGTTTCTTTGGAAAGTAGCATCACTGCGACCTGTGGATTAATGATCGTGTTTGTCTTTAATCCATTCAGAATGAAGGGGTCACTCTGGGTACTCGGTTATTTATGGGAGTGGACATTGGCCTGAATAACTGATAGCAAATGTAACAAATTGTTTCCTGTGAAGGACTTTCCCATCCCAGCTTTAGAACGTGCAGCCCTGTCTCAGCTGTGGGAGATGGCCAGTGATGTCCACAGGTCCTGGCTGTGTCACTCCTGATTCTGAGTAGTCATTGTCCATACGGGAATTGGGATCATGGCTCATTCCAGCCCGTGGCAACCTTGGTTCTTGGCTGATGTGCCCGTCCTTCAGCACATTTCCTAAAGCTGATAGCCGTGCTTTCCCAGGGGACAGCGTGACTCTCGCCTGGGGCCTGCCCCTCTGCCTAGCACCTGTCCTGTAGTCCTTGGTAATGGGGTCATATCAAAGTTAGTGGGGACATAAAGTTCCAAGGATATTCCTGGGTTCTGGATATGTCTGTACCATGAAGGGAGGCCACTCTTTACAGAAGCTGCAGCAGGTGGGAAACTTTGGTGCTGGTCATCTCTCTGCACTTAATTAGGAGGTGGTCATAGAAGAAAATATCTACCATGTCATACTTAAGAAGCTAACAGAAATGTGGAGCTCAAAGGAACCTTAATGGCCACTCAATCTCAAGAACCTTAATGAACCTGCTCAGTCTCCAGAAATCCTCCTGGAGAGGTCAAGTGCTGACTACTGTTCCGAGTTTGAGATACTGCTACTAACTTGCCTCTCCAATAACTTTATGACATTTCTTTCCCATATGTATGTAAATATATATGGGTTTTGGGACCAGCTTAGCAGAAATAACTTTCTGTATCTATAGAATAAAAATGATCATAACATCCTCTGTGTTTTCAACATCTATTTAATTTTTATAGAGATAATGTCTTGCTCTATCACCCAGGCTGGAGTGCAGTGGCCCAGTCATAGCTCACTGCAGCCTCGAACTCCTGGGCTCAAGGGATTCTTTCACCTTAGCCTCCTGAGCAACTGGGACTCAAGGCGTGTCACCAAGCTGGGCTAATTTTTTTATTTTTTGTAGAGATGGGGTCTTACTCTGTTGCTATGGCTGGTCTCAAACTCCTAGCCTCAAGTAATCCTCCCACCTTGGCCTCTCAAAATGCTGGGATCAAGGCATGAGCCACCACACACAGCCCTCAGTGTTTATTTTGTCCTCTCTGATTTCTCAACTTTTCATGTTAATATGTAAGTTGGGTATCTCCACTCCTACCTATGGATCTGATCCCTTTGCTTAATCCTTTCAGTGTTGCCAGTAATTGATGATGGTCATTTTCCAGTCCCAGTGAGGTAATGGTATCTTATCCAAAGAGAAGAGATTAATTTGGGGGTTGGATTTTCCTTTTTT